CCTCTCAGCCTCGTCATCCCCGAATTTATGTAACGATAATCGATGTTTCACCTAGAATGCGTAACCTATAGACAAATACAAGCCGTCTAGGTAAACAGGGTGGCCGAAGGCCCAGAGCCAGCGACGCGCAACCTCTATTTGCGGACGCTTCCAAGCATAACATGTACGAATTTCGTCGATATCCTAGGCACTTACAGTCAAGAGGCAAGTGGTCAGAACTCCAGACTTAAGTGAACTACAAAAATCATAGCCGTGTGCAATTGAGGATTCTTATACTGTTCTGGAAACCGTTATGAAGGAAATCCGTTCAGGCATTAAGCCACATTCAGGAATCGGAAAGGTGTTCAAATCACTTCCTGGCTCAAAAACTGACATGGGGATGGCGCAACAGTCACACGATATATTCACATATCCAGCAAGATGCACAGCTTACCATGCATTCAGAGACCTCGAAGACACGAAAATCATAGGGAAGAAGTAAACGTATGAGAAGAGATTCATCGCGTTAAAATTCAAAATGAAATTTAACATAAATTCCACTTTCGAATTTGCGAATCGACAAGATCGTTTTATATTTAAAAAATACAAAGTACCTAGGCTCGTTGAGAGTCGAAAACACCCTCCAAAACTAACTAGTCCTCGATATGGGATATTCGTGAAAATGCAGAAGTTTAATTTTACCTCGCTTCAAGTTTCGATACCGAAAAAATTGGTTCAAAGTTGGTGAAATTGTTCAAATTTGGCAGAGCTATTCAAAGACAGTTAAGAACAAATTCAGCGTGGAAGTTACTTCACTACCCCCAGAAATAAGATATACCTTAGTTTACTGATTATCCGTCTTCCTGATTCGATGTATTCATCTATCTATAGGTACAGTACCACCGCAACTTTGCGATTGAAAGAAGCACCAAGTTTAGCCCAGATCTGATTTTTTCGGCACCATCTAAAAGGTCTCCTCTAAACTATGTGAGGTGACCAGTAGCCGTGTTTACAATGAAAGGCTGGGCAAAATCGAAAGAGCACAAGTAACTTGAAAGAACTCGGTAGTCATTGAAGACGATCAATAAGGATCATTCTCAGTCTTAGATATCGCAAGCTCTGCCTCCTAAACGTCTCACTAAGGAATGTCCGTGAAGTAAAGAAGTCGGCAGAGTGCATTCACCCTTTTTATTTGATTACCCTCGACTGAGATAGTAACCATCACTACAGTGCTGCTTCCTGATGCTCGAGTTACTAGAAAGTAGCCCGAAACATTGTGGAGCTACATCGAAGGGAATCGCTCTCGCTAAAAAATTTCTCAAGTTTGGGAAAATCTTGTGAAATTATTGTTTATTTATTTACTATTACATGTCGAGCATTTATGGTTATGTGAAGTAACCAAACAGCAACGGAAACAAACCATTATACCCATTACGCAAAAACGCAATCGAAAACTTATGTGTGAAAAAAGCTAACAAAGATTACAGAGGAACGATTTTTTCCACTATTTCTGACAAAACGAATGGAGTATACGTTCATAAAAGTAGAAATCCAGCAATTCAACTTTTTCCCTACATTTACTGCATTACCAGATATCATACCATCAATAACTGTCATTGGGGAGGCGAATTTTCAATGGAAGATAAGAGAATATTTCAAGTTTCCCGAAGCTGAGGCACTCAATTTTTAAGAAATCAATCAAAAATGGTGACTGCTCTTTTCCAAAACATCTGCATTTTGCCAGTACTTCCAAACCAGTCTGGGAAACCGTCCCTACCTTCAGGTTTACCATCCCCGCTACATGCATGGTTGAACAACATGCAAACAACTGCGCCGTAGCTTTCATGGAACCGAAAGGGTTTCTGGTTACTGGGTTGTTATAGATAGTTATCTTGGCCTCCATACCAAAGATATTCAAGTCAACAAGGCATTAATTGATCAAACAGCGGGCTGCTGTAAACAAATTAGAGATGTCAACCGCCTCTACAGTAGTACGTTGAAGGATACTCAAGTACAGTAATCTTAAAACTCACAACTATCAATACTTTAATAGCTGAACAGATGAGAAGTTGATTTGGAAACGCCATGTTAGCTGACAGGACGCCGACTCGACGACGACTGGGGGTCCGCTGGCTGAATCATTGCTGAGCAAACACGACGTCTGCGCCTCCGTCAAGGTCCTGCTCTTCAGATTTGGTCTGACTTTTCGATTACATAATCGATTCCCCACCCACAGGCACTCTAACGTCCCTAAGGCAGGACGATCACGTTTGATAATACGTACTGGGTATGGGTGACTCATATGATATAACGCATGGCAGATCAGCCTGATACCGAGCAATGCCTAGTCATAGTGACAGCGATGCCTGAAGAGATGCCTCCGCGGAGGAAGAACCTGACTGGTTGGTTGTACAGTAGTGGAACTAGGCCTCATATCCCTGGTAGAAATTGAAGGATAACAGTGCCTCAAGGAGACCTGGAGCGGGTTGTTGAAGTCTTCACGAACGGAGTATTGGACTGAGGCTTCCCATCACTTTAGATAAGCGCGTCGTGAGATGCTCTACGCTAAGCTTATGGACATATGTTTCATGGTAACATTTGCTTGTTCAATGCTAACATTCGCGGTATCCATAGCCCTAGTACCCAGCCACAACGTAACTCAATACCCAACAAGATAGGTTGCCTGGAATCATAGAAAGCGATGGTACTTGGAGAGTTAGAAGCGCTTGGAAATCCTTCAATGAATAGTCCGCTTGCTGAGTGCATCGGTTGGTCCCTTTGTGTGAGTTTGAGGAGGATCAAACATTGACACCTGAAGAATTGAGTTGTGCAAAGAACGATGGTGGTAGAATGCGGACATCGGCGATCGATGATAGAAGGTGATAACAAAGAATAATATCTGAAAAGGAACCTTCCTTAGAGGTCACAAAATCCGCTACTGTAATCCTTGCTATTTCCACCAGCGCCATTGACCTTTGTAGGTGTACCGCGACGTAGACATTCATGATGTATGATAACGGGTGGTAATTATTGGTAAAGCCTGTTGGAGAGCCACAAAGAAAGGGCCACGTTTGCCGTCTTTCATTATCGCAACAAAACGTCTCGCTGACAAATAGTATAGGAATGTTCCGTGCACTTTATTCGTTCCGTATGTCAATCTCCCACATTCGTAAGCGTAGGGGTGAGATATTCAAGAAAAAAAACCTACAAAAAACGATAAGTTATGCAAAATTCACGACTGAGAGAAATGCTCTAACGACATTACAGGGTTACCGTAACGCCTGTGCACTGGCATGAAAAGCTATATTCTAGACCACTGTATCGTTCTCAGTGTGCCATCTGAAGTATTTAGACATGGGGGGAGGTGGAGGACTTGCCATAGCGTTGATACATAATATCGAAGAATAAGGACTTGTAGCAATAAAATAATTATCATAACGTCTTGCAAGCCTTAACCGACTACCCCTGAACAATAGACCAACTCGGTGAAAGATTGTAGACAAGCGATCTAATTAGTAAAGGTGCTACACTGGGCGTTTTCGGAGTGGAGCGTCAAGCGCCTTTGACGCAAGAGGGTCATGCGTCAGGTAAAACGCCCACACCCAAGCGAGACGACGGATGCAACACTGGCATCTTTCATAGTCCACGGCCAGTCGCGCGACCGATCGCGCGACTGGTCGTGGACTATGAAAGATGCCACTCGCTCCTCTGAAGATGTACACGGCGAACTGCACGGCGAATAAACACGCGACTCCCTTTACCGATCGAATTGATGTGCTTATGAGCGCTTCGACTTTCTGCTCATAAGCTCAGCTGAACCCGACAGTAAAGAATCTGACCGTGAAATAAAATACAACAGGCATAGATTTCTTACATACGAACTAATACGTTTTACGTCAGCCGGCGGGCTATGAAAGCAGCCACTGTGGGCTTCGCCGCTGCTCTGTGTATATAATTTCTATCTTGAAGATGAACGTCAGAATCGTCCCACTTGCCACGTACATTTCCAAACGGGCGAGCGCACTCATACAAAAACGAGACAAATTCTGCAAGAGTCAACACAGTAATCCAAGTGTGGGTCCTGCCTCGAATGCGTTGCTGTGACGCAGACAGCGGATTTCGCGCCGGGTCCATGTCCCCGTTCAAAGATTTTTTTCATTGCCTCAAGTATATGACGGATTCATTGGTCATCTGGCGCCTCTTCTTTTAATTCGGGGATTGTTGTAATGTCATGAATTCTTTTTGGACTGTAAAATCTGCCTAGTCAGCTAACAAATCGCATCTAGAAGGTTGGTATTTGGTGGCACTGGAAACTCTTTCGATGAGGATGTGAAAGCTGGCTGGAAAGGAGCTGTGCTACCTTCGTCGATTTGTGGTCAACAAAATAGCATTAGAAAGTGAAATTATACAAATGCAGGCCACTGCGTGATCTTGTTGCTGTCATCCCGTCAAAGCCTTCTGCGATTGGGGTGACGGCTTGGCCCAGGATGGAAAAACGAGGCGTTCTGATATGGCTGTCGGTGTGCGGACATCAGGATCCGGTTCTATCGAGACGATGAATAACCGCAAATGCCGCCCTGTACCTAAGTAGTACTCGAAAAGGAGCGCACGAATGAACAAGGCGGATTTAATCGTCCCGTGAATGTGTGACACAGTAACCCAGACACACGCTGAAGCGCCTCCAAACCCCCGTCACATATACGACGCAAAGCGTGTGAAGCCCACGGGGGTGGGTGGATAGGTATACGGGGGTTACGGTGTCACGCATTCACGGGACATTAAAATCCCTCGGTGCTAACTAAGTGAGTTGGGAGGGGCCACGCGGCGGCGCGGCGCCTTTTC